TGCATCCCCCCCATCCCCCCAGAAAAAAAGCACTGGATATCTGTCCTCGACCTTATTTGTATCCTGCCCTGTCTTTATTGATATTCTATATTGAACGTGCTGGCCACATGACCCGGAAGCTGTACACCTGCTCCCTTGGACAATAAAGCGAGACGAGCGCCGCAACCCCAGAGTCGGCCACGACTGGACCTAATGGTCAGGGGTCCCTTTACCTTTTTATATTGAACATGAGCCTCCATTATGCTTTTCTCATAGCTCAAGGATGGGGAGCCTCAGTTCCAGGGGCTGAATGCGGCCCTTCATGCCAATTTATCTGGCCCTCGGCACTCTCCTCCGGCCGCCTCCTCTTTGCCAGGCCAACCATCTCCTCTAGACCTGCTTTGTACCCTCTTTACATGTTTTTGCTGGCTGGAACATTTCTTTTTGCTTGCCCAGATGGAGCGTAGAGAGTTTGTGTAGAAACTAGTTTATTGTACATAAGTAAAATTCACGTTCATTGCTTGGCCCACTTTTGCCCCTACCACCAGCAGGTGGCCCCTAAAAGGTTGCCCCAGAGAGAATGTGGCCCTCAGACTTGAAAAGTTTCCCCACCCCTGTCATCGGGAGAATCACATGGGGTGTGGAAGAATTCAGTGCTCAAGTGCTATGGCTGACAGTTGCTTCCAAATCTAGTTTGCCTTGCTGAAAATGAAGGATACTTTTACAGCTGACTGTTTTTCTTTCCTTGCTAGCCATCCCTCATCTTAAAGGGCCTCCTGAATGTTGAGTGCATTTGAGCTGATATCCATCATTAGGCTTCTCAAGCTTGCTCCTCTAAAGCCAGCTGAAATATCTGAGAAGTGCAGATGCTCAGCATATCTCAATACTAAGCAGTGTAGCCTTCCAGCTTGTTGAGCAGCTTCCCAAATTATCATTTTGTCACAGGCCTGTTCCTGCTAGCCATCACTGCGACAATATCATAATATTGTGCTTATATACATGTGTCTCTTATAATAAATTCATCTATATGCAGAGCTGCTCCTAGATTCTTTTCCTTTTGAACAGACATACAGAAAAATTTCTCACATTACCATGGCAGTCTCAAGAATGGCTTGTCAAAGCTTCTTGAGGACTTAAGTTTTCTCCCATTCAAATTAGCAATGTCAAATCCGAAGTTAACTATAGAGGTGAGAATCTAGGCGAAAGTGAGAGATGAAAGAGAATCTGAACTACTTTAGGGTAGTCTCCAGTTTGCAGACATTGCTGTATTTTGAGGGGGGATTGCACGGAAGAAGGGAATGGAATGAGGTGGTTGTTGAAGAGGCAGCTATAACAAAAAAAAAATTGCCCTGCAAATCCATGGTGTTGTTCTCTTGGCTCTCACACAGGAGGCAACACGAGCTCCTCGTAGTCAGGTGATTGGCAGCACAGAGGGAAGTAGCGGGTTGCAAGCATTACATCTGTAGCTCTGTGTGGGTGGGAGAGAGAACAAGATTTAGAGCTGCAGCAACAGCGTGGAAATGAAACAGTACACAGCTTAGGAAGGCAGACGGAGCAAATTGCTCCATGCTTTGGTCGCTGTGCTCTTTGTTTGAAGAGGCCCAATCAGCGGCGCTCACATGGTCCTAGGTGATGACAAGGGAGTACATTGCCCAGTGCTTACTTTTCAAAATGAGAGTATGTAAACTAGGCATTCCTCTTCCACTTACCCCAAATTTAATGACCAGTGATCTGTGTAATCAACCTGGTAACAAACTCCTGCCATAAGTGCCCCTTTTATCTTTCACCATTCTTACTTGCCTCTTCCAAAATGTTCTCAGCACTGCCTTCGTTGCTTATATTTCTCGGTGTCTTAAAATGGCAGACTATTCAATTGGCAGTATATGGGAAGAGCAGATCACCTAGGTCTTTGCCACGGATGAGCAACTGGTTGGCTCCAGAGTTTGGGGAGCTTTGGGCAAAATGCTTCCACACCGTCGACCCTTTGTCCTTAGGCCCGGATCAGGAGGCAAGTTATCCAAAGAGAAAGTGGGAGGCAAGTGGGGGATTCTGCTACACCTCCTCTGTCTTGTTTGCTTGCTCAGAGAGGACAGACAGTAACAACAGAAGACCTGGAGACTCTAAGGTCACCAGTGGACCCTGCCAGGAGCCTAGCCCTTCTGACTACTGTCAGTGGCCCCGATGATAATTTCTCCAGCAGAACAGGTGGCAGTTTCATCCCAAGTCTGTGTTTCGGAAAAGGGATCTAGAAAATTAGAACTTCTGGCAAGCTCCTCTGGTCTTTCAGGAACAGCTGGGCTGTAGCAGTTGGCCCTCAAGGGGCGCTTTTTCAGATTTCAGACTTTGCTTGAATTGTGGTCTGCGTTCTATTTCAGGGTCACGGGCGGGGAGCTCTTTGAAGACATTGTTGCCAGGGAATACTACAGTGAAGCCGATGCAAGGTGAGTGGTAATTCCATCTCCATCTGTCCCCCTCCATCCTTCTTCCTTTCCCTAACCTGCCCCCTTCTTTCTGCTCCCTGATCCCATGCCAGCTTGTACCTGTGCAACATTAACCCATCCATGACTGGGGCGAAGGGTTGGACTCAAAAGGTATCACAAGGCTACAGCAAAGTTCATAAAACCTTTGGCACCAGTGGTTGCCATGATGTGCCCCATTGCCACATGCAGTGCCAGAGCCTGCTCTGTGGCTTTTCCGTCTGATGATCAGGTTGCAGCAAAGGATGGGGCTCCTCTTCCTTTCATAGATATGAAGGAGATGGCATTTTGGCAGGTAACACTTGCCCCATTACAGTGCTACAGGGTGATAAAAGGTAACACTTGCCAAAATCCACTCCCCCTTTTAATACCAAGGTTACGAGAGCTCTTTCCTCTTATTGCATCTGATTATCTTAAGCAAATTGCCTCCAAAATGGACTCTCACCAAGGTAGGCCACCTCCGCAGCTGCTTCATGCTAAGGAAAGAGAGACAGGCAGGAGAGATTTGGCTCAAGACCTGGTGGGCTGATGGCAGGTGTGTTTTTCTACACCACTTGTCTTGAGACTCAGTATCTTAAGATTCAAAGGCTTATGACATTTGCAGGTTACAGAATGAAGGAGGCCAACGCCAGGTGTTTCGTTATTCAGCTCTTTAACCCTGATTCAACTTCAAATAGATTTTGGTTTACCTAGCCTAGATTATATGAACAATTGTGGATGAAATCCAAACCCCCCCCACTCCCCCCCCCAAAAAGCATGAGAGTCTGTGAAAGAAGTGAAAATTGGACAGAACATAGTTTCTCAGGATCAGCTCTTGCTGTCCAAGTTGTAGATATCTCTTGAGGATCCCAGGGCTAAAAGTTGACAGGGTGAGAATAGCGAGGCTTAAAGAGCATCATCTTCACTGTGTTCATTTGAAAAAGAATCAAAGACTGGAATACAGCAGCGGGTAGAACTCAAAGTATAGCAGCAGTGAGTGGAAAGGACCCACCACCTGAATGATACAGAAGAGTGCAGGGTCAGTAGGGTTTGGACTGATGGAAAAGTATCTGTAATGCTTGAGCACAGAACTACGGCTGTCGCAGCAAGAGCCTGTTGGTGAGGGCAGAACCGCATTAGCCAAGAAACATGGTTGGGGAGCTGCCTTTTTTGTCCTGATTGCATCTCACCTATGGCTACTTCCCATGCTGCTCCAGGGAGTGGAGGAACTATTTGAGAGAGGTGAGATCATGTGGGGAGGAGCCATGTGAGGATCAGAAGCTATCTCAAGTACAACTCTTGGTGCTGTGGCTCTACTCTCTCTTACATGTATCCTCCATTTCTGTGTCAATATGGGAAATAGCCACAGGGGGGTGGCACCCATTCAACTACTATAAAGTAAGACCTAACCTTTTGTTTTTAGATTGTAAGCTCTGTGGGGCAGGTGCCTGTTTTCTTGTACTTTATAGAGGATCATGCACATTGATGGCCTTATATAGATAATGAATAATAATAATAATAATAATAATAATGAATTAGCATTATTTATATTGTGTTTGAGCATCTCTGAACTTGGCAGCAAACCAGGGGTCTCTTAACTGAAACTACTAGCTCTCCTTTCCACTTTGTGTTGTTCTATAGTTTTTCTCTAGAGTTGACCACAGGCTCATTCCCTTAAAGGGGAACCAACCTAATTGATAAGAAAGCGTTTTTTTTTATTAACTAAGATAAATATAATAGAAAATATTGGTGGAGGATTTTTATTTTATTTAATTTAGCCTGAGGGCTGCTTTTCCTCATGGTCAAATTTCTGGGGGGTTGGGAGGGACCAGAGGCAAAAGTTTGTGCAACAATGCATGCGACTCTTAAAGCAGGCTGCATTCCAGCCACATAAAAGTCACAAGGGTTTTGCACCCACCCATGGACATAGCCACTATTCAGCCAAGCAAGATTTATGACCACAGTTCAAGGACGTTTTCTAGCCAGACAAAGCTGCATTGAGAAGCATCGTCTGGGGAGAGTTACAAAGGCCAGATAGAGAGGTGTTGGAGGGCCACATTCAGCCCCCAGGCCTGCAGTTCTCCATTCTTGCTGTAAATGGAAACAGTAGAATCTGTTAGTTGCAGTTGTGTGATCATGTGGCTGTTGCCCAACACAGAGTTGGTAAAAAACACAGCCTCTGAATTGAAATTTGCAAAACACAGTAGGGGAGAGATACTATATGTGTGGCCCATTTGTCTCAAGATGTAAATATTGGCAAAAGGATCCATTCCTAGTCTCAATAGGTAGACTCAGGTGACTTTGTGCCATTACAATAATACCCATAGAAGTGAATTCAGAGAAGTAAGGAAGCCATATCACTTGCTTCTAAAAAACAGAGTGTAGACAAGGGAGGAAGATAAAGTTCTGTTGGGCCATTGAGGGTTGTGAAAGTCAGAGACTTAGTCCCAAGGGGTCAGGGCATAAAGAAACATTTTGCTTTACAGTGGGCTGTGGTGAGGTGCTGCAAGAGGCAACCCATGATGCTGTGATTTAAGTTAAATAATGGGCCCATTTCTACCAAAGGGCGATAGCTTAGTGGTAGAGCACTTGCTTTGCATGCAGAAGGACACATCTTCAATTTCTGGCATCTCCAGATAGGAAAGACCCTTGTCTGAGACCCCAGAGAGATGCTGCCGGTCAGTGTAGACAATGCTAAACTGGATAGTCTGACTTTGTATAAGGTAGCTTCCTATGCCGCTGTGCTAGATAAGTTTGCAAAGACACAGCCGGGGAGACTGATGTTCTTCCTGTGTTTCTTCCAGAATGCAGAGCAGGGCTATGACATGTAACAGATTAAGCTTTTTCTCAATAAGGTTTTATGTAGACTGTGGCCTGGAGGCCGTTGAGGGGTTTTTTTTGCATCTGCTTGGGTTTGTATCTGCTTCAAGGCCCATTTGGGTCTACTAATATGCCCCTTCTCATCTTATGTTGGGCCTACAGAATTGTGCTTACTGTTTCTTGTAATCTTCCATCTCTTCCTTCATACAAAATTCAGATAGATGTTCATTGCCTAGGAGGGGGCTTCATATATTTGGGGGCTGACCCTGCCCAGAGGAGTAGAGAAGCACTGCTTCTCAGATTCAGGTGAGCTCCCTGAGAAATGAACTCTCATTTGTTCTATCACTATTTATTAAATTGTGCTAGCCCATTGGGTACGCAATTCTAGTTGGCATAGTAGGATTTTTGCATGGTACCTTTGTGGGATTTGGGGCCAACTTCCACTTGTAGTGTCAGTCTATGCGCTACCACGAAAGAGACACAGATTCACATTCTTCTTCTTATAATTATTTTTGCAGTCTAATTTATATCCCTTTGCGGTTGGGATAGGGAGAGAAAAACAAGCAAAATGGTATTGTCCCCAGAGGGCAGCCTGCCCTCCCTAAAATCTAGTGAAGGAGGCAAGAGAAAGTCAGCTTTGGGGCATCACTGTGGCCAGGCCTGTATCCAGGTGTGTCCAGGGGTTAGAACAGCCTTCGCCAAACTAATGCCCTCCAGCTGTTGTGGATTGCAAGTCCCATCAGCTGTACTGTCTGGGGCAGGTGGTAGTTGTGTTCCAAAACAGCTGTGGGTCACCAGATTGGTGAAGCCTGGATTAGCAGGTTGGGTTTGGAGGGGATCCGTAGAACAGCTGGGAGAGGTACACATAGCACTTCTCTGTGTTGTGTCCTCTCTTCTTCCTCACATTTAAAATGCATTTTTGTAGAGAAGGCCCCAGCATGAGCATCTGTCAGAAAACCTTTCCCCATTTTAGCTGCAACTTCCAAGTTCACTGCAGAAGATACCCAAGGAAGCCTAAAACCCATGATCAGCAGCAATGTACTTGGTGAAGATTTCTCCTTTTGACATTTTCAGCACTCAGAGGTAAGAGCCTCTGTTTTCAATGGAGCTTATTCCCATGTAAGTGTGCCAGAATCCAGTCGTGATTAGAGTCCATTTTAATTTCCAATGACCTAGTTGATCCTGTAGGACAGAAAATGGTATTAAAGAAATAATCAGATAGCAACTAACATAACATTTCTGCAAAGCAAGTTATTTTTATCTGTCCTGCCTCCTTATTTCATTTATTTGTTTTAGAGATTTCTAATCCCACTTTTTCATATAGAGCCGCCCCCATCCCCTGTCTAAGTCAGTTTACAGCATTTAAAGCTGGTTCTTTAGACACCCTTCCACAATCAAATTCCAAATGCACAGCTCACAGCTGAAACAGATTTATATGCATGCATTTATATGCATGCATTCCTTCCTGTAATTCCTGGCCATATTTAGTGACCTGTGACTACCAGGGGTATTCCCTCTCCTTGAAACACAGCTGTACTCTGAAATATTAAACACTTCCCTGGTCATAACTAGGAAGTGCAGTTTTCCAGAACTTACTAGCTGTTTCAAAAGACTGACTAAAGCAGCCACTCGTAAGCTATGGTGATTGAAAAGAGCTAAGAGGAGAATTACCAGCAATGGTTCTGTCCCTCTTTTCCCTACTTCCTTGCGGAAGGGTGTCTAAAGAACCAGCTGTTGGGGACCCTTGATCCCAGCTCTGAGATCGCTCTTTCAGAACAAGAATAAAGCCCAACCATTTTATTTATTCAAAATACTGAAGGTAGGTTTCAGGTTGTGAATATATATAATCTGCTTGTGTGCAGAAGGTCCAGTGCAGAACTAATAATAATAGTTTGGACAAACCATTTATACAAACTCCTTGCATCTTTGTTGTTACCTTAGCCCAGGACTGGGGAACCTGTGGCCATCCAGATGTTGATGGACTCAGCCAACCCCAGTCAACATGGCCAATGGTTAGAAGATTGTGTTTTTTTAAATCTGGCTATACGCATAACTAGCAGTTCACAATTCTTTTCAATAGTGTGATCTTCTCCTTTCTCCAACTGATAGGACTTTTGACGTTCCCCTTTTTGTTTTAGTGTATTTGAATGGGAACACACATCAATCACTGTGCAAGCTTGCTGGCACTAGCAAACTGCAAATAGTGGAGTCCATGAATGTTGAATGGGCCACTAAACTGAGCCTTGGAAGCCTAAATTGTTTGAGATCCAGCGGAGGGGGTAGAACTGAAGTGTGGTACACGCTATGCGGAGATGTATAAAATTATAGATTAACAGCAGAACTTTGGCACATCCAATGAAGCTGAATGTTGGGAGATTGAGGATAGACAAAGAAAGCACTTTTTAACACAGCAGATAGCTATGGAATTCATTCCCACAAGAAGTCGCGATGGCTACTAACTTACAGAGCTTTAAAAGAGGATTAGACAACTTAATGAAGGATAAGACTAATCAATTACTATAGTCCACAGTGGCTTCACTGTCAACAGCTACTAGTCTTGATGGCTGTGTTCTACCTCCACAATCAGAGGCAGTACCTTTGAATGCCAGTTGCTGGAAATCAAAAGTAGGGAAAGTGTGTTGGATCAATCCATCAACCTGATGGATGATTTAGAAGGATTGGGTCCAGCATCACTTTCGCTGCCCATGTGTGACAGTATCTGTACTCAGCAGAGTTACAGCTCAACACAGCTCCTTCTTTGGAAGCGTCTTTGGGGTTGAAGGTACACACGCAGTAGGCAATAAACACTCATGGATGCCATAAAGATTCAGTCAAGTGTAGAGGTTTACTTGACTGGCATAAAAGCATATTGGTAGCAGCTATAAAAGGTAAAGGTAAAGGACCCTTGGGTGGTTCACTCCAGTCAAAGGCCTCTATGGCGTTGCGGCGCTCATCTCACTTGTAGGCCGAGGGAGCTGGCGTTTGTCCACAGACTGTTTTCTGTGTCATGTGGCCAGCAGGACTAAACCTCTTATGTGGCTGGGGCAGGTGTGGCCTAGAGAGAGTCCTTAAGGGCCAGGTAGAGAGCCATGGAGGGCCACATTCACCCTGAGGGTCTGAGTTCCCCACTCTTGGTCATGCCCATGCAGCAGTAATGTTGGGGGATCAAATGAGCTACTTTGAGTTATTCCTGTCCCCACTGTCTGCAAAGGTGCCAGTTATATTATCCCATGTTAGTCCTCATATCTAGCACAGGACTGTCTTGGGCTATGCAGTTTTTCTCACTAGCTTCTTATATTGAGCAGGCGGAGTATCCTGGGGTAAAGGAATCTGCCTTTCCTGGAATATTTTCTGCACACTGAGTGTGGTGCTACATTTCCTAGGCTAGACAGTTAGTTTGCCCAGATCCAAGAGGTTCACAGCGGTCAGGCTTGCAGGTCGTGAGCAATGGCCTTTCACACAGTACCTATCCACACCCATAGATATTACCCTCTCTCTCTTTTTCCATGCCAGCCTCATGGACTTCCTTTGCTGTGTTTCAAAACTACTTATTATATACACAACTTCTGTAGCCCCAAGTGATCTGTTTTGGAGGGGGTGGGTGGGAGAGGCTCCCTTTGGCACTGCTCTCCATTCTCAGATCCTGACTGCACATAGTTTCTGGTGCTATTAACAGCCATCTGCACACATCTTGTGATAACCCCCTGTGGTCTCTGAGCTTTCACAACATTGTTTCTCTCCTTCTCTTGTCCCCCATATCCACCCTGCCCCCTGTCCCTTTCTGTCTGTCCATCTGTCTGTTGCTGTGGATCTTTCCCCTCCCCTTTCCCCCTTTTAATCTCTGGATTTTGTTTCCTGCCATGCATATTTTGGTTGTCGTCTTCTTTTGCTCACTCCCTTTCTATAACCTTCCTGTGCTCTCTTCTTCTTCTTACACCTTTCCTGCCTTTCTTCTGCGTATGATTTCTCCACTTCTCTCCTCCTGATCCCCATTGTCTGCCCCTTTCCCAACCTGCCTCCTGTCTTCCTTCCTTCCTCCCTCCCTCCCTTCCCGTTTTGTTTTGCAGTCACTGTATCCATCAGATATTAGAAAGCGTAACTTACATTCACCACTATGCCATTGTGCATAGGGACCTGAAGGTCAGTATATATATGCCTTTCACCCTCTCAGAATGTTGGGTGGGGAGCGTAGGTGCTGCCATAATAGATTGAATCTGGTCAGGTCTGGCATTCTGCCCTGCCAGGTTCCTTTTATTTTTGGCGTATGGGGAGGGCAGTTATTCAGAGTTGGTTTCTTCCCTGTCCGAACTTGCATGACAAAATCCTTCTCATCAACGCAGAACTCCAGTGAGACTGTTTGGGGACCCTGAGACCTTCCACACAAGGCCCACATGAACCACCTGGTTCCAGTGATCCTGGCACTGACAGTTATTGTCCATAACGGGGGGAACTAAAGCAATTGGCTTGATTCTATAGCATTCATCATTCCATCTCTCCCATGTCTTCCCACTCGTGCTTGTGTGCGCGTTTTCTCTCTCTCTCTCTCTCTCTCTCTCTCTCTCTCTCTCTCTCCTTCTCTCTCCTTCTCTCCCTCTTCTCCCTCTCTCTGTTTCCTGATCTGCATCTCTTATCTTGTTTACCGGAACCCCTCCTTCCCAACTCTTGTCCCATTTACTTTTTTGGGCCAAAGCATTTGCATGTTGCCTTGGAGATCAGAAGTCATACAGTTTAGGGAGTGTGTTGCACAGCCATCAGTGCCAGCAGTTTGGGGCATGTAGCTACTCCTAGCGATGGAGAGTGTAGCACCACTGCATG